TTAACCACTGAGTCAGCTCTCCACCCCAATGATATGGTTAATATCTTTTTTTTTTTTTTTTTGTCTTTTTGAGACAGGGTCTCCCTATAGCCACAGATGGCTTGGATTCACTATGTAGATCGGGCTGGCCTGAACGCAAAGAGCTCCTCCTCCCTCTGCCTCTGGAATGCTGGGATCAAAGGGTGGGCCACCACGCCTGCCATATTGGTTCTGTTTCTATTGGCTATTTTTTCTTTTGACGATGGATTACATTTTCCCATAGGGTTGCTCTGATACAGGGACTCCTTTGTAACCCCAGCTGCCTGAAACTCATTGTGTAGACCAGGCTTGCCTCAATCTCACAGAGATTCACCTACCTCTGCTTCCTGAGTGCTGGGATTAAAGACATGAGCCACCACACCCTGCATCCATAATTTCCCCAGCTGGCCTGGAAATCACTATGTAGAGCAGGCTGACCTTGAACTCACAGAGATCTGCCTGCCTCTGCCTCCCAAGTGCTGGGATTAAAGACATGTGCCACCACACCTGGCAATGCAATCTAATTTTTAAATTATTTTAAATTATACATATGTGTGTATGTCTGTGTGTGGGTTTATGTATATGACTTAAGGTGCCCTTGGATGCCAGAGGGGTTTGGATCCCCTGGAGCTGCATTTACAGGCTGCTGTGAGCTACCCCTTGTGGGTGCTGGGAATCAAACTCTGGTCTTCTGGAAGAGCAACAAGCATTTTTTTTTCTTGAGATAGGGTCTCCCTGTAGCCCCTTGATGTGCTCACCACCAAGCCTGGAACTCAATATATAGACCAGGCTAGCCTTGAACTCACAGAGATACGCCTGCCTCAGCCTCCTGAGTACTGGGACTAAAGGCATGCACCACCATACCCGGCTGCAACAAGCATTCTTAACCACTGAGCCAACTCTCCAACCCCTAGGCCATCTAATTTTTGAAAGGATTCTTTGACAATTGCATACACATATAACAAATTTTGACCATATCACCCCCATTACCCTCCTATGCTGCTCCTACTACTGTACCTCTTATTCTCAGCATGTCCTCTTTCTACTTTCATGCTTTTGTTTATTTTTTAATGGCCCACTGAGATTAATTAGGGTTGTTTGCATGAGCATGGGTGGGGGCGAGAGCATGGGCAATTTACCAATGGCTACATGACTCCACCTCCTCCAGCAGCCATTGGCTGCCAACAGGCTAGGATCTTGTGTAAGTCCAATGCAGGTCATTACAGCTGCTATGAGTTCATTAGTGCAGCACACATGTCATGTTCAGAAGGCAACATTTCACAGCACTCTTACCCATCCTCTGGCTTTCACATTCTTTCCACCACCTCTTCCTTGATGTTTCCTGAGCCTTCAAGGGTAGGAGTGGGGTTAGGAAGGAAGTGATACAGATGTCCTGTTTAGGGCTGAGCACTCAAGAAATCACTTATTTTCAGCACTTTGACCAATTATGAATCTCTGTATTAACCACTGCTCACTGCAAACAGAAGCTTCTCTGACCAAAGTTGGGTGCAATACTAACATAAGAGCATGAACATACTTATTTAGAAGGCAGTTTAAGGGTTGATGAGATGACTCAGCAGGTAAAAGTGCTTGCCACCAAGCATGATGACAACTTGAGTTCAATCCCTACATGGTGGAAAGAGAGAACCAACTCCCAAAAGTTTTAAGTTGTCCTCTGACCTCCACACGGCACAGGCCCCATGCCCATCAAATAAAATATAAACACTTTTTAAATAGAAGGCAGTTGACAACATGTCTATTTAGCAAAATAACATTAGTAGGTTCCTTCTTAGGGCCCATGACTTTCTCAGCCACAGGCTTTTGATGAGGTTTACAGCACCATGCATGAATTCCCTCCTGTAGAGCAGGCCTTAAATCTAATTAGAAACTGGGTAGATGGGCTGGTGAGCTGGATCAGCAAGTAAAGGTACTTGCTACTTAAGCCTGATCCAAAGTTGGATCTTCAGAAGCTATATGGCAGAAGGCAAGAACGGATTCCTGTAAGTTGTCCTTTGTTCTCCACACATGTGCCATGGCATGCACACCCACACACATACGCACACAAATAAAAATAAAATAAATAAATAAATGCAAAAACAATTTTTTAAAATGTAGGGGACTGGAGAGATGGTTCAGCAGGTAAGAGCACTTACCGCTTTTCCAGAGGACCCAAGTTTGAGTCCCAGCACTCATGTTGAGTGGTTCAGTCTTGTGTTCTAGTTTGTTTTTCCATTGCTGTGACAAAATACTCTAACCGATACCAACTTGGGGAGGAAAGGATTTATTCAGCTTACATCTCCCAAGTCACAGTTCATCAGGGAGCCCCAGGTAGGAACTCAGGGCAGGAACCTGGATGTGGGAGCTGAAGCACAGGCCATGGAGGAACACTGCTTACTGGCTTGCTCCCCTGAATCTTGCTCAATCTGCTTTCTTATACAACATAGGCCCACAGATGGCACCGTTCGTAGTGGGTTGGGCCTCCCACATCACTCAATAATCAAGAAGATGCCCCGGGGCTGGAGAGATGGCTCAGTGGTTAAGAGCAATGATTGCTCTTGCAGAGGACCCCAGTTTCATTCCCAGCACCCACATGGCGGCTACAAACCGTCCTTAACTAGAGTTCCAGGGGAATCTGATGCCCTCTTCTGACTTCTGTGGCATTGCATGACATGGGTGCACTCACATACATGCAGGCAATACACTCATACACATAAAATAATAAATAAAAAATATATATTTTAAAAAAGATGCCCCACAGACATGGCCACAGGCCAGTCCAATGGAGGCAATTCACCCACTGAGGTTCCTTCTACCCAGGTGTGTCAAGTTGACAGCTAAAGCTATCCAGCACTTCTAACTCCAGCTCCAAGGGATCTGCCACCCTCTTCTGGCCTCTGCAGGCCCCCACATACACGTGGCACACACACACACACACACACGCACACCACATATATGATATTGTATATATAATGATAAAGAAAAATACTAGAGTATAGGAAATTGGGTGGGAGTAAGGGAGTGAAGATACTAGAGGGAATCTAAATATGTTCAAAATATATTGTATGGAATTCACAGCCAGGCATGATGGGGTATGCCTTTGATCCTAGCACTCAGGAGACAAAAGCAGGCAGATCTCTGTAAGTTCCAGGCCAGACTGGTCTACTTAGTGAATTCCAGGCCAGCTGGGGCTACAGGGAGACCCTGTCACAAAAAGACCAAAAGAAATTCACAAAGATTCAGTTAAAAACAAAAGTAAAAAAAAAGAAAAAAAAAATCTCTGCGCGGCCCTGTGACTTCCAGCTGGTATCACTTTGCTGTATTCCTTGTTGGAGACTCCTCATCCATAGTTCAGCAGTCAGCCTTTGTTTTGAGACCTTTATAAGCACTTCTCAAGACTTCTCCATGCTAGTTTTCCTTTATTCTGAAACCCACCTTCAATTTTCAGTTGCTCTGTAGTCCTCAACTCTAACCTTTGAGTCTTCAAGCTAAGGCTGGGTTTTCTCCTCCAGTTCTGTGTCCCACAGTTTATGCTAGAAACTGCCCTCAGAGGGGCAAGATTCATTGAAGTATAGATGGTCACCAAAAGTTGAGCCCCAAGGCACGTATGGTAGCTCACACATGCCATCTCAGCACTTAGGAAACAGAAGCAGGAGGATCAGTGAGTTCAAGCCAGCCTGGGCTATATATTTTCAGGCTACCAGGCTAGCCTGAGCTACAGAGTGAGATTCTTTAATCTTTTAATCTGTTTCTGCCAAAGGATACCTTCATATTTTGTCTTGTTAACCATGGAAGGAGTCATCTAATAAACTATTACTGGATCATCCTTTCACTTTTTGCTTAAGCAGCTTTGTGTGCGTGTGTGCGTGTGTGCGTGTGTGTGTGTGTATTTTTTGAGACAGGGTCTCCCTGTAGCCCCAAATGGCCTGGAACTTGCTATGTAGACCAGGCTAGCCTCGAACTCAGGGATCCGCCTGCCTCTGCCTCCCAAGTGCTGGGATTAAAGGCATGAGCCACCAAGTCCAGTGCCCAAGTAGCTTTATAACAATTCTCATTATTTATAATCTACTGAGGTGGGAAGAAAATACATTCATAATGTCCCTAGTGCAGGTGCTCACAGCAGTTGGTGCCACTTGAGTGGTTTCACAGAAGAGGTTTTGAAGGTTGCAGAGACTAGACAAGACTTGGATGAATATGCAGGTGGACAGATGCAGCAACTTGGGTTCTCCTGAGCTGAGGGCAGGGTCGGCATAATCTGTTTGGCTAGAAGTCTGAGTAGGAAAGGTATTCTCTCTGGGTAAGCTCAACACAAAGGAATGGAGGTCACTGGCTCAGGGATGCTCTGGACTTCTAGGCAACATTGAATTGCTCTGCCATGTTCCATGAAGGCTGTTTAAAGTCCTCCCAATTCATCTCCTTCCTGTAGCCCAAAGCTGATCCCCAGCCTCTTTGGATAGGAACACTCATATGGGCACCTTCCACAAAGGGGCAGATGAGGTGAAAGAGACCTTCGTTGGAGCCCAAAGTCAAAAGGAAGAGGTGTGGAGGCTTTCCATAGCCCCACCCAAGGTGAAGGGTACATGGCAGAATGTCCATTGAAAATGGGTCAGCATCTTCCGGGCCACAGAAACCCACATGACCCACCTCGGCACCCAGCATTGTATATCCAGGTTCTTTGACCCCAATCTTTTATCCTCTGAAGAACATACAATCAGCTTTAGGATCATAAAGGTTTAGGTGGGGGCTGAAGATATCTCTAATTGGGGTTCTCTGACCCCAATCTTTTATTCTCTGAAGAACACACAATCAATCAGCTTTGGGATCACAAAGGAGGTTTAGGTGGGGGCCAAAGAGCTCTTTGTCCTTGGGAGCCTTAAGATCAATCACAGAGGCCTGAGGTGTTTTTAAAGGAGGGTGTTGTGGGGAGGGGAATGGTGGAAGGATAATCTATAAGAGGTGCTGGGGGTGGGGGTGAGGGTATCCCAAGCATAAGATGTCAGGGGAGGAGGACTTTTACTTGTTCCAGAATGCATCCTCAGTGGGGCCCTGGGATGGGCCTCAGTATCACATTGCCCCTGTCTGGGCCCTCCATCTCCAGGCAGCCTTCATAGGCTTTGTCTTTTTTGCAGGAACCCCACTCAATGCCACAGTGCTGGTGGCCACACTGCATTACAAAAAGTTGCGGCAGCCCCTCAACTATATCCTGGTCAATGTATCCTTGGGGGGCTTCCTCTTCTGCATCTTCTCCGTCTCCACTGTCTTCATCACCAGCTGTCATGGATACTTCCTCTTTGGCCGCCATGTTTGTGCTTTGGAGGCCTTCCTGGGCTCAGTAGCAGGTACTGCAGGCAACAGGGGCTGGGGAGAGGCAAAGGACACTGCTCCAAGATTGGGACCCAGAGTCAGACTCTGGCATCAGAGAGGGCCCCTATCCTGAGTTTGACCAAAGTAAAAGGTCTTTAAAACAGATTTTTTTAAATTAAAAAAATTTTATTTTATGTGTATGAGTACCCTGCCTGCATGTAAATGCACCCGTGTTGTGCAACGCCCATGGAAGTCAGAAGAGGGGTCAGATGCCCTACAGCTGGAGCTATAGATGGTTGTTAGTTACCATGTGGTGCTGGGAATCAAACCCCGGTCCTCTGCAAGAGCAGCCAGTACTCTTAACCAATCAGCCATCTCATCTCTCTAGCCCCCCAAAGATTTTTTTATTCAGGTGTGTATGCCCTGTGTGTGTGTGTAAACAAAATTTGGGTCCTGTGGTGGTAGAGTGTGGGGTCTCTCCCTCTCCTCGTGGGTCGTTGGCCACTGGTCCATGAGGACAAAGGGAGCAGAAGCGACGAACGGGGTCAGGACAGCCAGTGAGCACGGAAGGAAGAAAGTCCTTCTGTGGAGGCGGGTTCAGTGATACAAACAGCTCCAGATTCAGTGAAACAGCTCCAGATTCAGGGATACAGCTCCAGATTCAGTAAAACAGCTCTGTTTATTCAGTGGGGATTAGGGAAAATATAGTGTGGAGGCAGTAGCCAATGCTTCAGCTGATAGGTGCTCATGTATGCTTTATTTACATGTGGCAGTAGGCTCCTATCATCTGACTACCCGGCAATGCCTAATTATCATATAGAAAAAACCTGGGGGTAGTTTTTACTCCAGGTAACTTGTGCTTGCCGGCACTTTCCAGGTAAGTCAGGCAGAGAGCAGGAGGCCCCCGGCTGAGAAGGGGAGTCCTTCCATATAGCACCGAGCCCCTTAGAGCTATCCAGACATGGAGGACTACAACCCTAGCAGCAGGGTTCCCCAACAGTAGAGCAGGAAGTGCTCTTAACTGCTGAGGTCTCTCCAACCCCAAGATGTCTTAAACTCCACCCCACCCCCTCTCCCCATCCATCTCTCTAGACTTGCTCAACCCTATCCGAACTTCACTCCAGGTTGGATGGGGCCGTCCAGCCCATTCTTTTCACATTTTGCCATAGGTCTGGTGACAGGCTGGTCACTGGCTTTCCTAGCTTTTGAGTGCTACATTGTCATCTGTAACGCCTTCAGTAACTTCCGCTTCAGCTCAAAGCATGCACTGATGGTGGTTCTGACTACTTGGATCATCGGGATTGGGGTCTGCATCCCACCCTTCTTTGGCTGGAGCAGGTGAGAGTTCAGGGCAGTGGTCTGGTGTGGGAAGAGAGATGGGGTATAACTTCTAATCTTTGACGTGAGTTAATGGAACAGGTGAGGAAAAAGGGCTGCTAAAGATGAGTCAGTGTTTACAGGTGGAATTTCTGTGGCCTCTTCTGGCAAAGGCTGAAAACCCTGACTCCAACCTTCTAGCATTTTAACTGGAGAAGATAATCCAGGACATCTCAGCTCCCACTCAAGTTCTGAGTCCAGAGTGAGTGAGTGCTTGGCCCTTTGCAGGTTCATTCCTGAGGGCCTGCAGTGCTCCTGTGGCCCCGGCTGGTACACCGTGGGCACCAAATATCGAAGCGAATACTACACCAGGTTCCTCTTCCTCTTCTGTTTTATCATGCCTCTCTTGCTCACCTGCTTCTCCTACTGTCAGTTGCTGAGGACTCTCAGAGATGTGAGTAGCTTCTGAGGGGGTCGGGGGCAATGAGCTAGGAGGCTCCAGGAGAGGGAGGAGTACCCCAGAACCTATGTCTACAGGTGTCTGTGGCCAGATGGAGGAGTCTCAGGAAGTAGCAGAGTGGGGAATGATGAAATCAGCGAAGGTGGAGTCAACCCTCTTCGTGTCAAGTGACATGTAGTGGGGATCTACGTAGCTCAGTGTATTTGGGTCCCAAGTTCCACAGTGAAAGAGCTGTGTGTGTGCATGTGTATGTATGCATGAACGATCTCCATCCTGTCTCTCAGGGGAAGAAATCCAAATGCAGCGGAAGCAGAGTGGACACTCCCCGATATAAAAAGGAAAAGGGCCCAGAGATCTGAGTTGAGGCCAGCAGGGAGAGGGACGAGATGCTCTTTGTGCTTACTCCAGGTGGCGGCTCAGCAGCAGGAGTCAGCTACCACCCAGAAGGCTGAGAGGGAGGTGAGCTGCTTGGTGGTGGTGATGGTGGGAGCCTTCTGTCTCTGCTATGTGCCCTATGCTGCCCTGGCCATGTACATGGTCAACAACCGTAACCATGGGCTGGACTTGTGGCTTGTCACCATCCCTGCCTTCTTTTCGAAGAGCTCATGTGTCTACAATCCCATTAATCTACTGCTTCATGAACAAGCAGGTAAAATTTCCACATTCTCATCAAGTCCTGGTCCATGTTTCGTTCTCTATTCATAACTTGAAGTACCCTGAACTCCATGCAGCGTTTATAGATGAGGGAAGCCACAGAAGGCCCAAGCAGGCTGGGAAGCCCTTGATAAGCACATGGGCAGAAGGTGTAATTCCCAGAGTGAGGGAGGCTACACCAGAAACCAGAAAAATCAAGTTGTTCCAAAGAGTGAACAGGAGGTGAAAATGTTTCCCTTCTTTTGTCAATGCTGGAGATTGAATCCAGAACCTTGAACATGCTAGGTAAGCACTCTACCAGAGTTAACATCCCTGTCCATTGTTTTTTGTTTTGCTGAAAAAGTATTAACATCAATCATTATGAATCTCCAGCATTCTGCAAATTCTTAATCCAATCCTTCTAAAATCTAGCCTGCAAGAGTGAGTAGTGATAACTGAAGCTGAAGTAGTCTTCAGGGCAAGGCAGACACGTCTTTCCTTGCAGTTCCGAGCCTGCATCCTGGAGATGGTGCGCAGGAAGCCCATGACAGATGAGTTCAACATGTCCAGCTCTCAGAAAACAGAAGTTTCCACTGTCTCTTCTAGCAAAGTTGGCCCCAACTAAGGACCCTCTTTTGGCCTATTAGCAGCAACCAGAGCTTCACATTTAAGTACATTTTTACTTTTTCCATAAAAAACCTAACTAGTAACAACACAGACAAAAGTTGGAAAGGGGAATGATGACACTTTGGGGACTCAATTTTCATTTTCCTTTATATTCTGTCTGCAGGCTGCTATTCCCAGATGGGGCTACTTCAGATCATTTCAGCAGTCACCAGTTTCTACTTCAGAGGTGCCCATCAGAGCACTTGGGGAACCGTAGGAAAATGGCTGGTTTTTCGGTGAATGAGAACACTTTCCTTTTCAGTAATTGTTTCCCTCTTACTGGGATCTGAGATGACATATCCTGAGATACAAGGGAGATGGAAAGAAAAAAGAAACAAACCCCAAGCACCCATCCGTGAGTTTACAAGAACATCCTTATACTGTTTCTGACAATAGCTGTTAAGAGCCTTGGCTGGGGCCACCATGGACAAAGCTGAACCAGCTCAGACACGCATCTTCACATGAAGTATTCTGGGTGTTCTCCCCTCCATTTGACTAATCGAACGCATCTGTTTTAAGTTGTTTATTGATTAAAGTTAATGGTTTAAAATTCCATTGATGTCTTCAAAATGAACTGGCATGTTTCAATATCATTTATAAACCAAAACAAAGCTGTTTTACCTTACACACCCTTCTCCCTCCAGGAAAAGAGTGCATTTGAAATAAAAATCAAGATAGATGTGTGAACAACTATATACAAGAAATGGTGTGTTGGTATCAGGTAATTATGTAATGGAAAGCAGAGAGGGTTGTCTCTAGAAGGAAGCTAGAGCTCAGAAACAGGAGGAAAGGACTGAGCAGGATGGAAGGAGGTAGCACTTTCAGGGTGGGAAGGAGTACATGGCGAACTTTCTAGGGGAGTGCCCTTTTCTGTGACATCCTTTTTTTTTTTTTTTTTGAGACGGTCTCCCTGTAGCCCTAGCTGGCCTGGAAGTCACTATGTAGACCACGCAGGCCTTGAATTCACACAGATCCACCTGCCTCTGCCTCCCAAATGCTGGGACTACAGATGTGTGCCACCACACTTAGCTTCTGTGACATCTTATAACTCACAATTTTAAGTCAGAATTCCATTTCTAAGAGAATGAAAGACACACATGCCAACGAATGTAAACAGTTTTATTCAGAAACAGATAGGTACCTGTTTGCATTATAGAATATAAAACTTGGTTTACACTCTATAAAAAATAAACAATATCCAAATTCAAGGGAGCTCGCATTCACAGAGCACACCCTGTGAGTGTGCAGCCACTGCTCAATGTCTCAGACTGGATTTAAATCAGAAACCAAAACCCAAACCCCAATACTCTGGGGGCCAACAGAGATGAGAGTACAGTGCTTGCTGCTGAGCACCCATGTCCAAAATCTGCCATCCTAGCAGATTTGGTCTGCTGTTAAGTGTGACTTCCACATCAGGCTTGGGCTCTGTGTACCTAAGAGAGCCTGGAGGCCCTCTTGTCACATGTGTATGATACACCCTCTCTAGCCAGGGCTGGTGGCAATATCTCTGGTTTTCCTTAACAATAGAAAGGAGTAGGGGATCTGGAAGGCAGACAATGTTCATGTTCTATATTGGGGTTAAACTTAAGAGTGTATCTGTTATCAAGAGCTTGATGCAATGGCTGGGGTGAAGTTACAGGACACCTGGCTCTTTACCACACCAAGCAGCCCACCTCAACAGGATTGTGGAAGACCAAAGGTAGGCCTAGGTTCAAATACGACCTCACCCAGCACCACCTGAATGTATTATCCAGAGATACAGGAAATAATAAAGTTATACATACATATATTTATCTTAGTAACCTGAGGGTTAAGACTTAGAATACAATAATTCTTCAGAAGCCCATCAGTGAGTGAGAATAAAATGGACAGTTCATGTTACACAAAACATGGGTAGATGAAGTCGGCAACATATGGGGGCTTTGATAAGGATTGGCAATGTGATGACCCACAACCCCTTCACCCTCCTCGCCCCCTTTTTGTGTCAGAGAGAAAAGGAGATGACAGATGGGGTAGAAGGGTTAAAGGCAGGAAGGGTGAGGAGTGGTCCTCAAACCAAAGAGCCTCCTCTCTAGGTTCTTCCATCCTCCAGTCTGACCCAAGCTCTGGTGGACGAGAGGCCTGGGAGCGAGTGGTTTGCACTCTGAGGTATGAGGATCCCTGGTCAAGTCAGCAGCATGTGTTTTTTGGAAACCAGCCCACAAGATAAGAACACTGCAACCAAGCTTGTAACTAATACTGCTATTTAGCCACTGTCCAAAAGAGAAGAGGAAGGAAAAAAAAATCTCCACTGCATCAGGAGGTTCTATGCTTTCTCATAAGGTAGTTCAAACAGTCTATATAAAATTCCCATTCTGTGATCATTTCTCCTGTTAAAGGCACTTTTGATGACATGATGGAAAGGAGTAATTTTCTTTTTTTTTGTCTTTTTGAGACAGGGTCTCCCTGTAGCCCCAGCTGTCCTGGAACTCACTATGTAGACCACGCTGGCCTTGAACTCACAGAGATCCGCCTGCCTCTGCCTCCTGAGCGCTGGGATTAAAGGCATGCACCACCACGCCTGGCGGAAAGGAGTAATTTTTAATTGCAGTGAAACCAAGATTCATTCCAGGGCCCTTGCAGTGATTTCAAAAGGTACCACTGAAAATAAAATGCATGCCCTGCGACACTTGTTTTTTTCTTTCATGTTCCAGATGCTTCTAGTTTGAAAGAGATCTATAAAGAGCTAGAAATAGCTCTGTAAAGAGCTATTCACTGATTTTCAAGACACTGGCCCTATTCTTCCCATCACAGCTGTGCCTGACAAAATTAGCAAACAGCCAGTCCTACAGGGGAGCAGAATGAAGTCAAGTTGAGCCAGGACGTCCTGCAGCACAGGGATCTGTTCTTGCCCAGATAATGGCAGGCTAAGCAGTTGGGCCCAAGTGACTAGAAATACATGGCCCTTATGACTTGTAAAATGTCAGACTTTTCAAAAGGCAAGATTAAGCATGATCTCTCTAAATACAAACCACGGAGTAAATGTTTTTCCTTTTTTTTTCCCCTCTTCTGAACATGTCTTATTGATCTCAGGCTTTAAAAAAATTAGTTAAGTGAGAACTATAAAAAATATGTGGAAAGGGGTTGAGAGAGTAAAGGGTTAATGTTTGCCTCCAAGTGTGGGCTTTGACCCTTCATATCATACTCCCGACCAGAGAACAATACAAAAATAAACACACCATGTTATACATTATACAAAGTGTAAATCTACAAACACAAGTGTACTAATCAGAGTTGTTCCTTGGTTTCCCTCCAGTCCCTCGGGGAGGAGGAGGAATGGGGATGGGATGGTTTTCATTATTTCAATATGCCTTTTCATGTCTTAAAAAGTTTGTAATAACAGTCTCAGTAGCGCAAACAATTTCATGTGAAACCAGAAGCTGTAAAAATAAATTACTTTTGAAGAAATGTAGGTTCCTCTGTATGCAGCTCAGAACTCATCATGTCGTACTAAGGCCTCCCCGAAATCTGTGGCCTGGCTGCCCACAAATAGATCATACTTGTCAACAATCTCCTCCTTGGTAAGCTTGCCATCCTGAAATTAGAGGGAATAGCGAACTGAGGCATGTTCTTGACACTGCAATTCAGAAAGATTGCTACACAATCAGAGTAGTAACAGGACTGAAATAATGTCAGATTATAGTTCCCTCTAACTGTGAACTTGTGTTGTCCCCCATCATGAAAGTCAAAAGATGGGGCCTGGAGAAATGGCTCAGTGAGAGTAGAGACTGCCCTTGCAGAGGACCTGGGTTCAACTCCCAGCACCCATATGGTAGCTAAAACCTGTCCTTAACTCCAGTTTTAGGGGATATGACACTCCCTTCTAGCCTTGGTGGGCAGTGCATGACATGGGTACACTTACATACATGCAGCAATACACTCATACACATAAAACAAAATTTTTTAAAAAGGCAAAAGGGGGCCGAGGATATAATTCAGTGGTAAAGTGCTTGTCAGCAAGTGTAAGGCCAGGCAGATGAGACAGGCAGAGTGTGAATTCAAGCTAGCCTTGAACTAGAGGAGGAATCAATACAGTTCAACTATTTCAGGACACAGATACAGATCTCTCTTTTTCTCCTGTAATTGGGCAGATGAGGCAGGTGGATTATGAGTTCAATCTAGATTGTACTACAGAGGGATCTAATGAATATGAAATGTCCCTCAGAGGCTTAGGTATCTGAACACTTGCTATATGGTCCCTAGTTGGTGGAGTTGTTTGGGGAATGTTGTGGAACCTTTTGGAGGTGTGGCCTTGCTGGAGGAAGCATATCACTGGTAGGTAGGCTTTGAGAGTATATAACCTCCTCCCCCTTCCAGTTGCTCTCTCTGCTTCTTGTGCATGCTTGGTGATGTGATGTGAGCACTCAGCTTTCTTCCCTGGCTGCCTCTGCCACTATGCCTCCCGGCCATGATGAACTCTTATCCCTCTGGAACTGTAAAACCAAATAAACTCTTTCTTCTATAAGTTGCATTGGTCACAGTGTTTTATCACAGCAACAGAAAAGTAACTACTATAACCTGAATGGCCTGGAACTCTGCTTCTGCCTCCCAAGTGCTGGAAGCACCACACTGGGCTGAAGATTTGTTTCTTAAGGAACAAATACTCCTTTGAAGCAAACTATGGAATATTTGCTAGATAAGGGGTGAGAAATGGCCAATATTTCATAATGTATCAAGTCAAAGTCTAGCAGAAACAGTGGAATCTCCAAGATCAATCCTGGTTGGCACTTCCATGCTATAAGATGGGACACATCCAAAGAAGGCTTAGACACTCATCTCAAATGGCATCAAGATTTGTCAAGGAGGCAGGGGCAGGTAGATCTCTGTGAGTTTGAGGCTAGCTTGCTCTACATAGCGTGTTCCAGGCCATCTGGAGCTAACAGGGAGACCCTGTCTCAAAAAGATCAACAACGACAATAACAACAACAACAAGATTTGTCAAGGAGGATTGATCAGAGTTTTCATATAGTCAAGGACACGACAATTAGTTACTGAAGTGAAACTAAGCAAGAACTCCAAACTGGTCAACCCTTAACATGTTTTAAGAAACTGAACTTTAAAGATCAGCTTGAAGATTATTCAAAACAATAAAAACTGTCTTCAGACTGACTTTATATTTTAAACAGTGTATGCAGATCTGAATAGATGACAAGGCTTAGGGATAACTCTATTATTTTAGTGCCTCAGATAACTAATTGAGGATAATTTTAATAGACTTCAGAGAAAAACTGGCTTATAACCTCATGCAAAGGACGTAATTTACAAAATATTTTATGTGTATGAGTGTTATATCTGCATATGTTAAGTGCACCCATGTCATGCAGTGCCTGTGGAGGACAAAAGAGGGCACTATGCAAGAACTCAAAACTGGTTCAGAACAGATACAGATCTCTTTTTTTTGAGATCCCTTGGAACTGGAGTTTCTTAGCCATCATGTGGGTGCTGGGAACCAAACCTGGGTCCTCTGCAAGAATAGCCAGTGCTCTTAACAGATGAGCCCTCTCTCCAGCCCCAAAGGACTTAATTTTTTTTTTTTCTTTTTTGAGACAGGGTCTTCCTGTTGCCCCAACTGTCCTGGAATTCACTATGTAGACCAGGCCAGCCTTGAACTCACAGAGATCCGCCTGCCTCTGCCTCTTGAGTGCTGGGATTAAAGGCATGTGCCACCATGCCCGGCAGGACTTAATTTTTAAGAATATATTTAAGGTGGCAATAACCAGCATTATTTGAAAAGCAGGCAGAATGAACCTGTAACAGGAAAGCATACAAAGGAAACAATAGTCAAATTTTTAAAAAACAAGAACATTTCTTGGGAATTCATTAGAGGCAACTCATGCTGCATCCAGACTATAGAAAAGAGGCTTTTATCTGAAGCCCAGGTTTCTCCAACACTATGAACATAGGACAAGGGATTTCTAAAATGAGATCAGATAGCTAGTGTTACACTGAATGAAGGTTTCCAATCACCAAATTTAGATCCTTTGCAGAGTTAGGCTAATTATGACTTTAAATACTCTATGTTAACATCTGTTTAAAGGCAACCTTCTAGAAAGACTGTCATTACCAAACTGCTTGGACCTGGTCAGACTTACCTTGTTTTGGTCTGATTCATAGACTAGGTGCCTGGCTTCTGCTTCTGCATGGTCATAGTCTGAAGGGAGGATCCAGTCTTTGGTCTCTTCCTTGTCCATCTTTCCATCTCGGTTCTTATCTCGAAACTCAACAAACTGTTCTCGCTCTGTCTTCACCCATTCTGGCTCATCAGCATTTCCGTCATGGCTGTACATGTCACCTGTATGCACAGAAAAACATACAACAGAGTTAGGCTTCTTCTAAAGATTGCCTAATACCAATGTGGCCTAAGTTTTCTTCTTATACATGTTTGGCACCTCACAGCAGTTAGTTACATAGGTTTCTTAACACTAGAGAAACTTTAGAAGGAAAAGTACTTTCCTGGGGCTTAATTGCTGATCCCCCCCCTCCGCCCCGTTTTTTTTTTTGAGACAGGGTCTTCCTGTAGCCCCAGCTGTCCTAGAACTCACTAAGTAAACCAGGCTGGCCTTGATCTCAGAGACCCACCTGCCTCTGCCTCTGATTGCTGGGATTCTAAGTGTGCAACTCCATGCCCGGCTTAGTTGATCTTTCAACAGTATTTTAGAGGCTGATTTGAGTTGCAGGACAGTGAAGATGCTTTACACTTTTAAAATTTTTTGGACTTTAAAATAAAAATAATAAATAAAATATTTTAAAAAATTATTTATTTATGGACCGGGTGTGGTGGTACACACCTTTAATCCCCGCACTTGGGAGGCAAAGGCAGGTGGATCTCTGAGTTCCAGGCCAGCTGCTGTTACAAGAAGACCCTGTCTCAAAAAGACCAAAAAAAAAAAAAAAAGTATTTATTGCATTTGATGTATTTTGCGTGCATTTATGTAAATGTACCCATGTCCGCAATGCCCAAAGAAGAGGTATTAGATTTCCCTGGAACTGTAGTTACAGATGGTTGTTAGCCTTCATGTAGGTGCTGGGCACAAAACTCGGGTCCTTTGCAAGAGTATCCAGTGCTCTTAACTACTGAGCCATTTCTCCAGTCCCTTTATTTATTTTTATGTGTTAAAGAGTTTTGCCTACATGTTGTGTGATGTTTGTGGAGGCCAGAAGAGGGTACCAGATCCCCTGGAACTTGAGTTATGAATGGTTTTAAGTTACCATATGGGTGCTGGCAACTGAACTTGGGTCCTCTTCAAGAGCAACCAGTGCTCTTAGCTGCTGACCCATCTCTCCAGACTCAAGTCTTTATGTCTTTTTTGTTTTTTTTTTTTAAAAAAGGCTAACATAAGGCATCAAGGCATAGCAGTGTATGTCTATGGGAGACTGAGGTTAAGTGTTCAAATCAGCCTGGGCTACAGGAGACCTTGTCTCAAAAAACAAAAATAAGTTTACTGATAAGGAAGACAAGACTTTTTTTTTACCTCATTTCACTTTACCACAAGGTAGAAAATTAAACTGTACCACTGGTTTGAGAAAGGACAGTTTTAAAGCCTCAAGGAAACTTGTCTACTAGTCAATGCTTTGATAAAGTTCACTCTGCTAATCTTCAATCAGGGCAAGCATGCACCTGGATAAGGAGGCACACCATCAAGGGTACACTGACAAGAGATAATCATGACAGAGTCGAATTCCTGATACAACTTTCATAAAATAGTTTCCTAAAAATTCAACTGCATTGAGAACGTAGTTTGACTCTTAAGATTTCAACCCAGTCTCTCCTTTTACAATCTCCTTATTCTTCATTATCTGTGGTGAAATTTATTAGAGCATAAAAAGCTCCACAGACAATTAAAAATGTTGGTGTTGGTCTTGAGAGAGTAGATATCCAAGAATATGAGTAACAAAAATGCTTTTTCATGTCAAGAGGTTTCTTAATTCTTTGTTGAAAAAAAACGTGTCTGAGGCTGGAGAAATGGCTCAGCGGTTAAGAGTACTGATTGCTCTTGCGGAGGACCCGGGTTTGATTCCCAGTACCCACATGGCAGCTAACAACCCTCTGTTAACTCCAGTTCCAAGGGATCGGTCACTTTCTGACCTCTGTGGGTAGGTGCACGAGATGGGTGCACCTACCCACATGCAGGCAATATGCTCATACACGTAAAATAATAATAATAATAATAAAAAGTGTATGAGTTTTAGCTATGATAATTAAAGTTTTTTTTAAATTAATTTTTATTTAATGTGTTTTGCGTACATGTATAAGTACACCTGTGGTGTACAATGCCCATGGAGGCCAGAAGAGGGCATTGGATCCCCTGGAATGGGAATTACAGATGGTTTTTAGTTGCTATGTGGGTGCTAAGAACTGAACCCAGGTCCATGCAAGAGCAGCCAGTGCTCTTAACCAATATGCCATCTGTCCAGTCCCTAAAAATAGCTTTTATTTTGAGACAGGGTCTCTCTGTAGCCCCAGCTGGCCAGGCTGGCCTTGAACTCACAGAGATCCACCTACCTCTGCCTCCCGAGAGCTGGAACTAAATGCATGTGCCACCAGGCCCAGCTAAAAATAGTTTTTGTTATTTTGTCTTTTTTTCCCCCACGGAGCTAAGGACTGAACCCAGGGCCTTGTGCTTGCTAGGCAAACACTCTACCACTGAGCTAAATCCCCAACCCCCCCAAAATAGTTTCTGATGATGGATTATATCATAATTTTTGGAAAAGACATTCTAAGAACAAAGTGGCACTGCTGTCTTCATTCCCATCACATTACATAAAAAAGTTCTCAGCACCTCCTCTTAAAAACCCAGAAAATTAGAAGTGCTGAATTCTTTTTCATGGTAAAGAGAAACAACTGCCATTTACGCAAAGAAAATTACTTGAAAAATTTGACACATATATTTTTAATATAGAGGTAGCGTGTTTATAGTAAATGCCATTTTTGTTGAATTGGTTTTGTTTTCTGAGAAAGAATTTCACTATGAAGCCCAGACTGGCTTCAAACTTGAGATGTTTCTGCCTCAGCCTCTCGAGTGCTGGTCTGCAGGCAGGTGCCACTATGTGCAGCTACTCGGGTGCATATTAACATTTTTAAGAGTATTAACGTGGAAGATACACTAAGCTTTACCCCACAAAACAATTCCTCCGAGATTTCAATTTAAACACACAATATACTTGCAAGTAACTAACGATAATTTAAGGCTTTCAAAATTAAGAAGAAAAACATGTTTGCAAAAAAACCTCCAAACAGGGCTGGAGAAATGGCTCAGTGGTTAAGAACACTGACTGTTCTTGCAGAAGACCCAGGTTCAAATCCTAGCACCCACATGGCAGCTAACGAACCATCCTTAACTCCAGTTCCAGGGGAATCTGATGCCCTCTTCTGACCTCCGTGGCATTGAATGACACAGGTGCACTCACATACATGCAGGCAATACAGTCATACATATAAAATAAAAATAATAAATAAATAATGTGTGAAAATTAACTAAAAA